AAAAAGCGGTGGTGCATGTCCTCTCGGAGAGCGCCACCGGGACCCGGTACCTGTCTCAAGGCCGACAGGGCGCGGCAGGATGACAGGTGCAGCTCCTGTGCATCCTAACCACCCACCCCATCAGCCGCGGCCGCCACATCTGCTGGGACCACTGAGCTGTGCACGTCCTCCTAGGTTCCCCGTCACCCAGTAAAAACATCTGGTACACACACACGATTCCAAAAGTCATACTGAGCTGTGGCTGCAAAGAGATTCTCACACACCTATTGGTTAACATAATCTATAAAACAGAGCAGTGGTGACGATGAAGGGGACCTTGAGCTCCCGCCCACCGCGTAACTGACCTGGGACGTGGCGCCTGGAATATGCGCCCTGAAGACAGCGGGGTGCTTCCACACCCCCTGCTTTCCCCTCTGTACAGTGACTAAGCTACCCTGTGGAGCGACTCAGCAACTGACCACACCGCAGGCAGCCCCAGTTTCCACGGGCTCTCCTAACACTTCCTGGGAAGAGAGGCATGGTGTCTCACAAAAAGGAAAAGCATCTAACTCCGAGACACCACCCGGCTAAATCACAGGGACAGCTCCTCCCGGACCAGCTGGGGATGCAGTGACGGGGATGCGGTACCGAGGCCCCGTGTCGATGAGGTTTATCTCAGGTCACCACCACACCTTCCGGCCCCGCTCCAATTGGATCAGCAGTGCCGTCCCACCACCTCCCAGGCCTGGGGTTCCGTCTGCCACGATGCACAGAGCCCAGGTCCCAGAAGACGGAATGAAAGCACAGACTCTGCACATGACAGAAGCACTGCGTGGCTGGGACACGTCACACAGCGTGGACGAAAAGTCAGAGGGCATTGGGAGGGCAAAGCTGGCGAGGGCCATAGTCACTTGAGATCAGGTGCAGAGCTGCTGCTTTTCCTTCAGCTTTTTCATTCTTTCTGGTTGAATACCAAAATTCTGACTCATTATAAAAGCAGTTAAGTTTACTGTAACCGCTTCAAATAATAAACAGTGCTTGGAAAACAGAACGTCCCCGTCACCCCCGTCACAGGGGTGCACCCAGCCCACTAGCTGCTCGAGACCAAGACGAGTGTTGGCATCGGGCAGAACTGGACACAGGCCGGGGCAGAGGTCAGGCCTGTGGGCACCACGCAAGCGGCCAGACTTGAGGGCCTCATATCTGGAAATCACCATGAGGCTCAGGCCCACTTCGTAGAGCGGGAAGGTGTCAGGCACGGGGCAGGCACCACGGGCTCTGGAGCAGACGGCTGCCAGCAAGAGAGTGCCAGGGACAGTGGCACAGCTGCGCGCAGGAGCCCTGGAGAGTGAACTGGGGGAGGGAGGCCGGTCCTGCGGTGTGGCGCCAGGGGGCTGGGCCTGGAGAGATGTCCTCAAGGCAGGTGCCCTTGCCTCCTAACTCTGGGCACCAAGACTGGAGGCGTGACCCCGAGGTCACAGCAGTGGTGACAACCACAGAGAAAAGAGGAAACGCTGAGTTTCAGTGGAGATGAAGGACCAAGTGGGAATGTTCTCAGCTTTCCATGTTGAAAAAAAACCAAACTTTCATCTTTTTGGCTGTTTTTTCACCACCTATAAGCTCTGACATGACTAACAACATGTTATAATTTCTAAATTGACAAAACAAAGGTGGTGCTGGGAAAACTGGACAGCTACATGCAAAAGAATGAAATTAGAACATTCTCTAACACCACATACAAAAAAGAAACTCAAACTGATTAAAGACCTAAATGTAAGACCAAAACCCATAAAACTCCTAGAAGAAAGCATAAGCAGAACTCCCTTTGACATAAATCGTAGCAATATTTTTTTAGATGTCTCCTAAAGCAAAGGAATTGAAAGGAAAAATAAACAAATGGGACCTAATTAAGCTTAAAAGCTTTTGCACAGCAAAGGAAACCATCAGCAAAACGAAACAAGCTATTGAATGGGAGAAAATATTTGCAAGTGATACGACCGATAAGGAGTTAACATCCAAAACATATAAACAGCTCATACAACTCCACATCAAAAGACAAACAACCTGATTAAAAAATGGGCAGAAGACCTGAACAGACATTTCTCCAAAGAAGACATACAGATGGCCAACAGGCACATGAAAAGATGCTCAACATCGCTAATTATTAGAGAAATGCCAATCAAAACCACGATCAGACAACACCTCACACCGGTCGGAATGGCTATCATCAAAAAGACAAGAAATAACAAACGTTGGCAGGGATGTGGAGAAAGGGGAACTCTTGTGCACTGTTGGCGGGAGTGTAAATTGGTGCAGCCACTGTGGAAAACAGTATGGAGGTTCTTCAGAAAACTAAGAATAGAACTACCATATGACCCAGCAATTTCACTCCTGGCTATATATCTGAAAAAAACGAAGACACCAATTCAAAAAGATACATATACCCCAATGTTTGTAGCAGCATTATTTACAATTGCCAAGATATGGAAGCAACCTAAGTGTCCATCAGCAGGATAAAGAATGGATAAAGAAGATGTGGTATATATATACAATGGGATACTATGCAGCCATAAAAAAGAATAAAATTTTGCCATTTGCAGCAACGTGGATGGACTTGGAGGGTGTTATGCTAAGTGAAATAAGTCAGACTGAGAAAGACAAATACTGTATGATACCACTTACATGTGGGAAATCTAAAGAATACAGCAAACTAGGAAATATAACAAAAAACAGACTCACAGATATAGAGAACAAACTAGTGGTTACCAGTGTGGGGAGGGATAGGGGATGGGACAAGATGGGGGAGGGGAGTAAGAGGTACAAAATATCATGTATAAAATAAGCGACAAGGATATATTGTACAACACGGGGAATACAGCCAATCTTTTTTAAAAAATAATCTTTTATTTATTTATCTATTTTTGGCTGCACTGGGTCTTCCTTGCTGCACACGGGCTTTCTCTAGTTGCGACAAGCGGGGGCTACTCTTTGTTGCAGTGCACGGGCTTCTCGTTGTGGTGGCTTCTCTTGTTGCAGAGCATGGGCTGTAGGCACGCGGGCATCAGTAGTTGTGGTGCGTGGGCTCAGTAGTTGTGGCTCACGGGCTCTAGAGCACAGGCTCAGTAGTTGTGGCGCACGGGCTTAGAGGCTCTGAGGCATGTGGGATCTTCCCAGAGCAGGGCTCGAACCCGTGTCCCCTGCATTGGCAGGTGGATTCTTAACCACTGTGCCACCAGGGAAGAAACCCAGCCAATCTCTTACAAGAACTATAAAAGGAGTATAACCTTTAAAAATTGTGAATCACTAACTATCCTGTACACCTGTAACTTACATGACATTGTACATCAGCTCTACTTCAATTAAAAAAGAAAAGGAAATACCTATGTAACTAAAGCTTCAAAAGTAAATTTGCTCTCAAACAATAAAGCTGTGTTAGGAGCTGGTAAATGCCCTGAGCCTGCTGGTGCACTCAGGGTTTATCATTAGGAAGTGAGAATGCCGTAGCTGGGGCCCCCTCGCTTTGCACCCTGAGACTGTCAGGGGCGCTGCTGACAGCACTGGGCCTCACCTCATATCCTGAAAGCACGTCAAAAGGAAAGATTTACAAGACTCAGTGGTTCTCAGTTGTGGGTGCAACTTACTGGATTTTCAGAATGGAGAAACGTCAGTCCCACCAGGCCTGCTGGAAAATCAGCACTTCTAGAACTGAGGATGTGTATAGAGAACGGCAAGTATGAAAAAAACAAAACAAAGCTAGTAGTCCATGGGATATGTAGACAGGGTTAAGAACCCGTGCCGGTGGTCCACCTGTAGCCCCCAGGGGTCTGCAGACGAGGCTGTGCGGGCACTTTTGGGAACGAGAGTACTGTCGTGGAAACCAGAGGAGGGACACCGCCGGCTGTTGCCGAGCAGGAAGGCTGCACAGCACAGAGGAGCCTGCCCGTGGGCAGCAGAGGGGCCCCTCCTGGACGCAGAGCCAGGGGTTGCGGGAGTGCTGTCAGGGAGGAAGGACTCTTCTCTTTGGAAATAAACTTGTTAATGGGATCGGCAGGGTCCTCTCTTGAAGACATTAGGTCAGAGTTCTTAAAACCTTTGATTGAAGGCATTTTTTGAGGTTACTTACTTATATGATCCAGTTTTACAAGATATTTGAAGAAGTCTGATGACTTTACAGAATTATCAGAACCCTGAGTGCAAAGGGTAGATGAGAAAACTATACATAAAGTACACTAAGGGGGCTTCCCTGGTGGTGCAGTGGTTGAGAATCTGCCTGCCGATGCAGGGGACACGGGTTCGTGCCCCGGTCTGGGAAGATCCCACATGCCGCAGAGCGGCTGGGCCCGTGAGCCATGGCCGCTGAGCCTGCACGTCCGGAGCCTGTGCTCCGCAACGGGAGAGGCCACAACAGTGAGAGGCCCACGTACCGCAAAAAGAAAAAAAAAAAGTACACTAAGATTGTACAGGAAGTGGACAAATTAATTTAATAATAATTTTTATCAACCTAAAAATCAAAGAATGACTGACGTAAAGTCAGAAATGACTCATTTATCACACTTAAGATTTTACCATTTCTGTCTTCTGTAGATTTTTGAAATTATTTACATCCTAATTCTGTTTTGAAACACATACATCGTATCTAAATTCTGGCAAAAATAACTGGAAATTTAACGTGCAAATCTGAAGATTCACTTGGAGAGAAGAGGACACGGGAGGGTGCAGCCTGCAGACCTTACGGAGTCAGTAAGCTCCCTGAGTCCGCTCACGGCTTTCCTGGAACTGACTCGAGGCTGTTCTGGGACGTGTGGGCACAACCACGCAAGGCCTGGGTCAGGGCAGGGGTCCCACCAGGAGGGAGCTGGCCAGATTTCTGGCCTGTGGCGAAAGCCCGCACTGGAAACCACCGTCAAGCCCCCTCCTCACTCCACAAGAAACTCCTCAGGCCCGGAGCCCGATGAGCCCTCGGAGAGGCGCCGTCTGCACCCCGAGGACCCGTCGGGATTGGGCCGCTCGGCCCGACTGACCTCATCGGGGCTGGAGGCCTGGTAGGTGCGGTTGTCGTCGCTGAAATCCTGGTCGGCCTCGGCGAACTCGGTCTCCCCGGCCGCGCCGCGGGCCTCGTACACGGGGGTCACGTTGTGACACAGGGCGACAGCCTTCACGGCCTCGTGGACCCGGCTGCTCACGCTTTTCCTGACCTTGGGCGCTGAGGACTGGGCTTTTCTTGGGGGTGTTGAACTGGCGTTGTTTCCACTGGTCTGAGACTGCGTCTGTCAAACACAGCACGCCAAAGAATTAGAGACAGCAGAGCCGATGCTGGGATGAGTAACACGCATGGCTTTGATGGGCTGCTTAGCCTTAGCCAGGAGTAAGTAGACCAGCTCAAGACGATTACCTCTGCCATGCGCCCCACTGGGGTGACAAGTTACCCTTTTATCCTTGTACTACAAAGTGCTTTGACATTTCCCAGTCGTCGAGTAACCAAAATATTTGCTATAATACTCAAAATCTCACCATCTCCTTTGAGTAGATTCACTGTAACCATGGCATGAATTTGCTAACTCCTTTCTAAAAGCAAAGTTGAAAACAGAATGGAATAGGATACTCACAAAGTTTCTCTTTAAAAACTGCTGGGCATAAAATGGTATACAGCTGGGCTTCCCTGGTGGTACAGTGGTTAAGAACCTGCTTGCCAATGCAGGGGCACGGGTTCGAGCCCTGGTCTGGGAAGATCCCACATGCCACGGAGCAACTAAGCCCATGCGCCACAACCACTGAGCCTACGCTCTAGAGCCTGCGAGCCACAACTACTGAAGCCCGCGTGCCACAACTACTAAGCCCACGTGCCACAACTACTGAGCCCGCAAGCCACAACTACCGAACCTGTGCGCCTAGAGCCCGTGCTCTGCAATAAGAGAAGCCACCACAATGAGAAGCCTGCGCACCGCAATGACGAGCAGCCCCCGCTTGCTGCAACTAGAGAAAGCCCACGCACAGCAATGAAGACCGAACGCAGCCAAAAATAAATAAATAAAAACCAAAAAAACAAACATTTATTAAAAAAAAAGTATAAAGCTAAAAGCAGGAAAACATGATTATGAACGTTCCCTTAATACTATGAACTCATCCAGCTTTGCAACAGTCTCTGAAGTTAAGAGTGTCGGGTTTGTAGATAATAATCATCAGATACAATAATCACCGCTGTGGGAGGAAAAGCGACCCTCCTGTCATATTTCAAAACTGTTCCCTTGAAGCCACGACCCACTCCTCCGGATGTGCCTGACAGCCCTGGACAGACGTCTCCGCTGGCGTTCACCTGGTGGGGGAGGGCCTGGGAGGACCCCAACCCCAAGGCCCATCAGACACTTCAGACCTCAGGGGAGCTCCCGACAACCCTTAGAAAGCTAGGCCCCTGCTTCTGGGCAGCTGTGCAGAGCCCATCAAATCACAGTGCCGGCTAATGAGGGGCAGCTCCTCTGCTCAGCTGGTGCCCCTTCCAGCCCGCGCCTCCGACCCACGCCTGCGTCCTGCCTGCCCCGCCGCTAGCGCAGCTGAGCAATGCGGCGGCCTCTTCCTGCCGAATGTGCCGTGTTTACTGACGGCTGTATTGTTTCACTCCACACAAATTCCACTCACGACCATGTCCTCATCACCAAATGCTTCCAGTGGGTAAACATGATCGGGTTACACAAGATCTGTGTTACGTTACTGTGGACCTAGCAGACAATTATCATCTTAAACATGAACCGTAAGGAATAAAATCAGTTTCGCGTGAAAGGACTGTCTGCCTAGCTAACCAACACACAGCTTTTGGTAAAAAGATTTTTAAATTCTTAGAGGGAGTTATATTCGCTGTATTTATATGACTCATCTTTTCTGCTTTTACTGTTTTTTCTAGTAAAATAACTTATTTGGAATTATTAAAATCATATTCATGGGTAATATAAATTCATATTTTTTAAAACAGATGTTACCTGGTACTATTTAATCTAGACATAGATTACAAGAAGGGAAGTCGTATTCCTTCCCCTTTAAAGTATTCTATTAATAAATATTCTAGGTTACAAAATACTCTGTATTAAAATGAATGACATCCAAATTAATAAAATGCTTGGTTTTAAGTGTTCATGCACGTATGTGTGCTTCTGGGCACGTATGACCACACATATAATAAATACATACTCATATAAGATTGTTTTCATTTGACAGCATCTCAAAAGTAAAGTACATGCCAGACTGGTGCACATTACAGAAAAAAGAGACGGTTTTCACAAAACTGAATATAAGGCTGACAACATACAAGGAAGAACTGCAGAGGGCAAGGGTAATTCAGTCCAGTCTTCGTGAAATCAAGTGGGAAACAAAGGCCTGCAAACAAGAACCTGCCGGCCTCGGCAGGTGAGGGCGCTGGTGCAGCCCAGGGAGCCTGCTGGCAGCAGGGAGACATCACAGCCCGTGAGTGCTCTGTGCGTGCCAACCCCACACACCTCGCTCAGCTCCTCAGGAGAGAAAAGGCCTCAGGAAGTGGTCCTGAATCGATGCCCTGGGATGGCTGGGTTTGATGACACCGAATCAGTGACTGCAAGTTATACAATGGGTAAGAAGAAACCCAGTGACTGAAACACAAGCCCTACTTGGGAAAGGGCCGTGGAAACCACACAGCCGAAAATAAACTGGAAGGTGGCTTATGTCCTCACCGCTCCATGGTCTTCGCCTGACCTGGGCACCCAGCGGACCTGACACACCTAACGTCGGGAGCCTGAAAGGTTGGGAGGATCCCAGCCCAGACGCCCTGGCAGAGAACGGATGCTGTAACCACCAGGCTGCGCCCTCACGTGAAAGAAACAATTCCTCTTCCTGTAGAAGCTCCGGTGAAAAAGACAAGATTGAGGTTTATGTCTTAAAAAAACAAAAAAACAACAACAAAAAAAAACCCCTGTCCTTATCTATGAGAGATACAGACTACATATTTACAGATGAACTAATGTGATATTATATTCAAGTTTCACCTCAAAATAACAATCTGAAGGACAATGGCTATGATGAAACAGGATCAGCTGCGCGCTGATAATCGTGGAAGTTGAAGGGCAGAAAAATTACGGTTCCTACTTTTGTTTACTGAAAAGGTTAAAAATATGTACCTTTAAAAAATATGAGAAAGCCTTATTAATTATGAGGAAAAACAGAGGGATTGTTAAGAAACATATCTGACGCAGGATTCCACTCGATACTCTTAAAAATACTATGTTTACTGAGTGATTTATACAAATAATCCACTAAGAAAATTGAATAAGAATAAACGATTTAAGGTCGTTAAGCCTACGGTTACACCATACAGAAATTTTAATTTAAAATTAGTCCAAAATCTGTTTCTTGATTTATAAATGAATGATGAGTAATGCCTCAGCATCATCAGAGAAGGTGCCACGCTGCAGGTCAAGCAGGTAACAGGCTCCGTGTCACTCAGCAGCACCGGGTACTTTTGCCAGAAGATCCCTGCAGGACTGAACCGGCTCACCTGTGAGTAGGAATTCATGAGCTGGTTCTGGATCTCATCCATCGTGTCCGTCCCGTAAGACACGGTGCCCAGATGCAGCCGCTTAAATACCATCTCGTTCCGGGTGAGGGTTCCTAGGACAGAAGCAGCAAGGACACCGTCAACTCGGGTGGCCCATCAGGCAGATCGAGGCCGCACCCCACACGCCCCACGCCCAGGGCTGGATGCGCTCTGCACCTGTGAACACGCTGCTCGGCCACACAAAGTGTCCTCCAGCGTCACCTGCACTATGTTTTCATTTCACTAGTGAGGACCAGAGCTTTCTTCCTGGAACGTCAGGTTCCCCTTTCAGTAACTTTTAGTAACGGCAAGCGTTCCGGTTCTGTGGAGAAGGTCTGGACTCTGTCTTCCAGTTCTGAGTCACTCTCTTTGTAACTACACCCTAGAACGCTGCCTGAGAGACCAGTGCGTTGGTCCGTTTCAAATAAGTCTATTTCGAAAAATTAAGTATTTTTCGTTGAACAGAAACCATGCATTTAGGCCTTGGCATCCACGTGTGTCGTACGGAGAGGAGGTGAGGAAGGAGAGGCGTTTTCTCTCCAGCTGGTCTCTAGCCTGTGAGCCCCGGTGCGGGCCCTCTGCATCTGCCCTGGCACTGCCCACCAACCCAGGCAGGTCAGTTTTAGGTTTCAGCTTCCATTCAAAAGATACACAACCAAATGCAGTGAAGTAACAGCAATGAACAGAAGGGCAGCAGAGGTAATGCCGTGTATTTCAAAACCTTGGTGAACTTCCATTAAAAGTGGCACATAAGGGCTTCCCTGGTGGCGCAGTGGTTGAGAGTCCACCTGCCGATGCAGGGGACACGGGTTCGTGCCCCGGTCCGGGAAGATCCCACATGCCGCGGAGCGGCTGGGCCCGTGAGCCATGGCCACTGAGCCTGCGCGTCCGGAGCCTGTGCTCCGCAACGGGAGAGGCCACAACCGTGAAGGGCCCACGTACCGCCAAAAAAAAAAAAAAAAAAAAAAGTGGCACGTAAGTTCCCAGTGTTATTGATCTTGTGACCCTGACAGGAGACCCTAAACACTGCATCTAGCACTTAATATGAAAGCACACACGCACACAGCCTCGGCTGCTCTGGTTTTACAGAAGGAGAGCCACACGGTGTGGTGCAGGGAGAACTCCCTGTAAACCCCGGCACCGCGAGCTACGAGCTGTCCCCCCCAACCCTGTCCCCGGGATTTCTGCACCTGTTTCAAAGCACAGAGAAGGGTCACCCACGGGCACCGACGTAGTTAAGGGTGTGAATATGAACAGAGAGCCACGCGGTCACAGTAAAAGTCGGACCTTTTACGTGTCTATGAGACACCACAGTAACTAAGTTTTGTTTTCTTTGGCCCACACAATGTTGAAAATATAATACAAACTGTTTTCATATCTACCTGTGACTCCGTGCCCATTACTTAGGACTAGTGTTCAAAGCAAAATAGCTCATTTGACAGGACCCACCCCAGCACTCAGAGGTTATTTTAAAATAAAGGGAAAATCTATAATTTACAATGACTATTTAGAGATTGTTTTAGCAAACACTCCCTAAAGAGTGTCTATAACATATTATCCAGGGTTTCATAAATTCCAAAGAGCAGCTACTGTCAGGGACGCTTGTCACTTTTATAAATTCTGCCTTTTACAAAATTCTATGTAGCCCCTTTAATAAATGGCTCCTATGGTTCTTTGATTAACAGAATCAAAATTACATGAGAAGTGCAGTTTAAAGGGTTTTTGCTGGTTATGCCATCCTAATTAAAGAATAACTAACTTAAATACTAGGGTATATTAAATAATGTAGTTAGCAACAATTCAGCCTCCAAATGAAATAAGGAAGTTCTATAAATGCTTTATTTCAAAGATTTGATATGAAAACAACAGTTCTATTATTTACCTATGGTCAAAAGATAATGAAATTTTACATTGATTCCTATTAGAGTAAGTATGAAGTTTACCTCTATTACATGCACCCAAATGGACAGTTCTCTGAGAAATGATCAAATACATTATTTAAATTAAAAATAGTTTACGTATCAGATTAACTGAGGTAACTGAAGAATTTCATTTAGACTTTTTTTCTCTGATATACCTTGAACGTGAGGCAGTAGCTTACGGTGGGGATGGTAAGTAGGCGCACACGCTAAACAGTTTATAAACAGGACTGTGGTTAACGACACTTCTTTTAACCTGACTTTTTATTACTAATAACTTAATCTGTGCAGCAAAATTAAAGAACATTACAACAAACACCTGTACAGCTCCCACCAAGAATGAACTGTTATTTCTCTTAAGTTTTTAAAACCACCTCGTACAGGTAAGAAAGACCCTAGATAAACAGGCCACAGTTCACCCGGCCTTGGAACATGGCCGCCATTCTCCAGACACACCAGCAGCTCTCACGTTCCCACACGTCTCTAGTGAACTTGGAATTCAGTCATTCGTTGGGCTAAAGAACCCTCATGAGGCCTCACTCCATGCTGGGTTTTGGTGGGCCTCACGGAGATGCTTTAAACTCTCAGGCCTCAGTGCTTGTCTGCAAACCAGAGAAATTACCACCGGTCCCGCATGGATATGGCGAAGAATAAATAAGCATATAAAGTGCCTGAGACACAAAGGGTGAGGGGAACCTGACGGCCAGGAAGAGGGGCTGCAGGACGGCACCCATGCAGCCGCCCACGAGGACGGCGAGGACGCAGGCGAGGGGCTGGCGGGGGAGCTGAGGGAAAGCGGAGCACGGACGTGCCCGATCCCCAAGATCACGACGCATGTCGTGCCTCTGGGTTCTGGTTTCGTGCTGGACACCTGGCCGCGTGAGAGGGACTGGTCCCCGTGCTGGTGACGAGGTGCAGGGCGGCTGGCGTGTGCCGAGGTCTGGGTGGGAGTGAAAACTGTCAAGAAAAATAATCACAACATTAAAGCGAAACACACTTACATAACGTGAACGATCTCGTACTCATCATACCACAACTACAACTTTTGGAAGAAAATTCACGACAGAGGTGCACAGAATGAACCTTCTATCTCACAACGTGAAACCCACTTGAGGAAGCGAGAGGTGTTTGGGAGGAATAACGCTGTGCGTGTCAGCGATCGTGTGAGCGGACTCGGCGATGCAGGCTACTGCTCATGTGATGCCCGCGAGGCCCCCTCCTGGGACACGCCGTCCGGCCTGCCGAGTGGCTGGGCCCTCCAGCTGGAGCGTGCCACACTCTCACCTTGGACATCTACCCCTGAAAGCCAGCACGCGCACAGTAAACGGCAGCAGCTACTTTCACAGTGATCTTCCCTGACTCTCACAGCAGCGCTGGAAGGAACGGCCGGGCTGTGGGACCGTGTGTGTGCGGCCAGGACCTGGCGGCCGAGCGCAGGGACCGCTCCTGAGCTGCGTACTTCCTGCAGCGGAAGCCGCCAGGGGACACGCCTGGGCTCTGGCTCCAAGAAACGCTAGAGGATCGCTATGTAATTATAGTTCCCCAGTTTAAAAAATAACAGCTAGTAGGGATATCACTGAAATGATGGCAAAAAGTAAGGTAAATGTGCTTTTCCATAAGACACATTCTAGTTGAAAGAACGAACACACGTTACACTTCTTCTCCGCAGTCTGCGCTCTTACCAGAGACCTTCCTCCCACTTGCCGACCCGAGAGCGAGTCGTTTCTTTCTGTTTCTCTCTTCCGTCTGAACGATTACAGGTACACACGGGGGCCAAGGAGGAACAGGAAAAACTTCACAAAGTTTCTGAGATGAAGCTTTTAATCTGATGTTAATATTCACACAGCTCTCCTGGAGGAATTGAAAACAAAAGGTTCTCCCGCCGAAGTGAATGACCTGACAGTTACAAATGTGATTATGGGCCAGTTCTACTCCAGCAGCCAAGGCGTGCCTGCTGCTCTACTGAGTAGGGGAGCTGATTCGCAGTGAAAAACGTGGATGTGGAGGCCTCCCTGTCGACCACCCCTCCTTCCTGGAAACACGTGGAAACGCACCCTGGACACCCCCTTTCTTCTGTGCGTGTGCAAGTGCACACCGACAGCCAGAGTAAAGCAAAACGCACAGGAAATTTCAACTACAAATTTGAGGAACATGGAATGCCAGGGACTGGAGGTCAGGAATGTCATCTTCCTTCCCACCTTCTGCACTTGTTGACGGGAGCACCGCACACACACAAGTGGACAGAGCAGCGTCACGACAGGCCCGGCACCATCATCCCTTCCACAAGGGTCCCCGAGGGCCCCAGCCACTGCCCCGTCACAGCTGGAGCCAATCAGAAACATACCACCTCATCCACGAGCACGTCCGTGTTACGAATAAAAGAAGAGCTCTTAAAATAAACACAACCCCAACGCCATCACACCAGAAATGACCCTAACCTCTCAACATCACATGGCAGGCCGGTCCTGATTCCCAGCTGTCTCGTCTCCTGTGTGTCGGGCTTTTATACTGTGGTTTGAACATGGACCTGGCGAGGTCTCCCAAGCCTGACCCCCAGCTCTGTCCTCAGAAACTCCCCGAGGGCCTCAGTTCCCCACAGTCTGCACTTAGTGGCTTGTTGGCCCTGGGGCTGATTCACGCGTTCCCTCTAGGCCCGGGATTTGCTGTGACGGCGCTGGACAGAGGCTGCAGAGATGGCTCTGGAGCCCACTACGCACGCGGGGTGGACGGAGGGGGGGTTCTCTATCAGGGGCACGACACCTCCCCACCGCCCCCCCGCAGGTGGTCAGTCCCCAGGCCCGTAAATCCGCCCTGGGTTTAAAGTGGCATGCACCTGAATCAGATCCCCAGAGGTCACTGAAGACAAAAATCTGACACTCCCGAATGCTGCAGCCACGCGAGTGACAGGTATTTTCCACAGCCAAAGGCATGTGGTTCCAGTCGCTCCATTCACAGACGACTTCTAGGCGGGGAATCTGGGGCTGTAGAGTGGCTGCTGCTTTAACACCTTGATTAGCTGTACTGCAAGCGCTAAGGCTCCAGCGTCAACTGTGCTGCGTCACCTGGCTCGTTACTTACTACCAGTCAGAGAAATCGCGAGAGTAATTCCACGTACGGACGAAGATCCCCTGGAAACAGGGCAGGCGGAGAGCTAC